TTTGCAAATGAAGAGCAAACCAGCGAAAAAATCTTCAGGGCAATGTTTCTCAGGTAAAATGAAGCCCACATGCCAAAATTCAGCAATTTTAAAGCACTTTTGAAAATGGCCGAAAAATCCAGGGAATGTTCTTGCCTGCAGCCTTTCATGTCGCAGATCTTTCAGGAAACTTCTCTACTTTTGTTTTTGATTTGAAATTTTTAGTGGACTTAGTCATTTTGACATCACTGTAACAAGAACAAGACAGCTGTCAAGTAGAATTTCTAAATAAGTAAAAGTTTGCTTTACCCTTTCTCCCGCAAGAATTTAATAAACTTTCCACTGTGTGGTTTCAGAAAATATCCATACCCACCCCAAGGAGCATTTCTGGAAATTCCAAGGTGGGAGGGGGTTTCACAAGCAAGGAAAGTATGAGGAAAAAAAAAATGGAATTTCCAGAAGGATTGCAGGGAGCGGGGGGGAGGAGGGGGAATTGAAACTCCCTCTTTCTAGAACAATGCATTCAGGGTAGAAACAAGTCACATGCTAGGCAACAAGTATGAAAAATAATCAGAAATCCATTTGATTTGTTAATGCCTGGATATTATCACAAAGCAAACAAAGAGAGGAAAGCAAACCAATTTCTCTTAAAATATTGAGAAAGATCCATAGAATGTGACTTCTACATTACATGTTGTTCCCAATGCAAGGTGGCTGAAATTAACAGCATTGTTGGCTTCCTCTTTAGCTGGCAAAAACACATCCTTGACAAAAAAGGCCAACAAATTCATGTGAAAAGCTTTGATTTTATTTTGAGCCCTGGGATATGATGTCTATAAATGCTTCAATGGTATTAGTTCATCTGAATAAAAGATACCCATTCTTCATCCTCAAATAACATATCTTTGAGTGGTAAATTTTTGCATACCTCTGTGTTTATAAAATTGCCAACTTTGCTCCCGTCTGGCAACATTCCACAGCCTTCTTTGACTGTTTTGCAGCAACTGTCTGGGTATTTGTAGTGACTTCCGTTAGTGAAACGTGAAATCCACCAATCCTCATAATTTAACCAGCCACAGCATTTTTCCTAAGCAAATAAAAAAGTAAAGTTTAGTCTGGTGGGCTTAAATTGAGCAACAACAAAAAACTGTGATTTGTACCTAGTGGGGGTGGGAGATTCCAAAAGTTTGGGGGTGATCATTGTCTCACTTACAGGTATAAATCAAGGATTCTGGTCTCACTTACAGTGTTATGATGAAACACCACTATTTTAGCTGTCAAAGTATCTTTTAGGGTGCACTCAAAGAAACAATAATTTAAAAAAGGCTCTTATTTCCATTTCTGGGCTCAATTTCTGCCGCTCTCTCGAGTCCGGTCTACTAGTGAGGGCTCCTTTCCTGAACAGCGGGTGGTAATTAGGGGTTTAATTCAAATTGTCCAACAAGCATCCCGACCCTTTTCATATGGGAATCCCCCCTAGTGACCATTAGGCAACAACGAAAAAACTGTGATTCTTACAAAACATCTCAGGGAAAGAGAAAACAAGGACTAGAAAATTTCAAGCAAAATGACGAGTTGGCCATCCACGATTGCAAAATGCCATTGCCAAAGGTTCGTTTTGTGACTGGTGTATCTTTTAGCGGAATGGAAACTAATGGTCATGTGGGCATTTGTGTGCCAAGAGTCACTTCCCCAAATGGACAGTGCAAATTTAGGTTTTCATTCAGTGAATTGCCTATGAAGATGAAACTTCAAATTGTGCTCACTGAATTCTCTTGAAGTGAAATTTTGTTGACTTTTTGTTTCATTGCTGACTTGCCCAATTCTCAAACCATAATTTTCGCTTGCAAGATGATCTTGCAGTTTCAGGCCGGGTTGTGACTGTTTCAATTAAAATTGACCGGACTTGTTTGTGAATGAGGTTATCAAGTAAACGAAAGTGTTGTGCTATACTGGCGAGCGGGAGAAGTACTACCTAGCTATTTATGAACTTGTTGAAGTTGTTAAAGGAAAATAAATTGACGTAGCGAGTTTGTTAAGCCGACGTTTTTTATCTGCTGAAATAAATAAGTGTACGAGGAGTACTATAATGATACAAATAACAATCTTCCATTTCCAACCCATTGTTGCATTTTGTCATATCCATTGGTGATTTCATCGTTTCCCTCTTTACCATATTCTTTTTCGAGTTCTCTCTTAACATCTGCATCCATGAAGTCATCAACCTAAAAAAGAAAAACATTATTTTATTACAGCAACAATTACAATGCAGCTTCCAGGACTTCAGTAAACAAAATGATAAATGAATGTATAGTATCTGCTGAAGTTGGATATTCAAGTTTTTTAAAGGACTGGTAAAGCTGCATTAAAGCCATCAGCAAAA